TGGATTGATAATTTTAGCCCGATTAAAATAAGTCTATACTTCGGATGTGATGAAGGACTGAGGTGTAATACGGTGAAAATTGTTAAAATTTCAAGTGATTTTTGTGCACGATTACAATACTTTCTCTATACTTCGTATATACGAGAAAGTAAAAATATACACATGAGCTGTAGTATGAAAGATAGGCAAACGTTCAAACCACTTCCATAAATTATTTCCCTTTTTCAAATGGTCAAATAGGGGTGCTCATAATAATAAATGAAATGAAGTTAAAATTAATAATATAAATACCAAAAAACATAATAATAAACATAACACGAGACACCATTACTTATACAAAGCTTCATGATTTATATACTTTTGACCGACTTAAGGAATAGAAGAATTAAGGCAAACATAAATGAAAACAGAGATTTTCAAAACAGACCAATGCACTCACAAACATGACATGTTGTTGTAATTAGATTTAATTGAATTTTTTTTTCAAAACCCGATCAGGCCAGAAATGAGTATCCTATGTTCGTATTGTGTGTTTATATATATATATATATATATATATATATATATATATATATATATATATATATATAGGTTATTGTTACGGGTCAGTTGTAGGTTAGACTAGAATAGGATAGAATGATCTAGAATTAGAGGAGAGTGAGTGTGTGAGTTGAGTTTACCCTAGAATATTGTTAACCCCGGTGTGTTTGTGTATTGTTATCCCAAGGTCGAATGCGGTATAAAAGCTGGAGTGAATGGTTGTCAGGGGTTAGTTGGTAGTGTTTAGGTCGAGGGCTATTCTGTAATGTGATAAGTGAGACAGAATAAACGTATTGAACGTTAACACGGGTCGTTCTTGAATTCGAATCTAACCCAGACGTAACAGCTATATATAGGGGGGGCCTATATATACATATATGGGGGGGGGGCCTAAAAAACTTTTTGCTGGGTGGCCCATTTTTTCTAGTTCCGCCACTGACAGAGCCCCTAGTTAACAGTAGACCATCTAACACTTGACAGAATCTATTATTTAAAGTTGCACATCCGGTCCATTGTTCGCCCTTGACAGAACCCCATTTACATTTACCCCAATCCTCCCCCGCACACGTGCTATGCAATCGTAAATCGAGAATGTTCTGATCAATTCAGGTCAGCTTGTAATAGCTCGTTATCTAAATATGTCTGCTCTATTTACTATTTATAGTTCACACCAAAACGAGGCTGTTTCTTACACTGACTGTGAACCATGAAGATCTAGCAGCTTTGACGATTTACCCTTGTGACGTCAATTGTTTACCAAAAGTGAACAAAGTTGAAATCCCCGCAGACTTATTGATCCACAACGTCTGTCTAATGCAGTCGTCTGAACTTAACCACTGTGATCTCACAGCATATCCAGGCATCTGCGCCACGCAATAAACTAACCTGCTTTGTCGTCACAGATCTATGAGCTGGACAAAAGCGGAGCTCTTTTTTGTCAATCCAGTACTTTTGATTGGTGCTTATCTCACGGTGTTGGTCAATCCCGCGGTCAAGAACGATAATATCTCTGTATGTTGTATGTTGTATGTTGTATTTTGTATGTTGTATGTTGTATGTTGTATGTTGTATGTTGTATGTTGTATGTTGTATGTTGTATGCTGTATGTTGTATGGTGTATGGTGTATGGTGTATGGTGTATGGTGTATGTTGTATGTTGCATGTTGCATGTTGCATGTTGTATATTGGTGTATGGTGTATGGTGTATGGTGTATGGTGTATCTTGTAGCCTGTAGCCTTTAGCATGTAGCTTGTAGCTTGTAGCTATATATATATATATATATATATATATATATATATATATATATATATATATATATATATATATATCATGTTGAAACCGGCCCCACCCATCCCATAACCTTGACCCGCGCCATTGATCTCAACCGTTTGTTATCACGTGTTACTCTGTTCTCGTGATGTCATATGCTAATTTCAGGCTCAGCAACAATATCGAATGTAAACAAACACATCTCTCGGCCTTCGGATACTTGTCGGTGACCTTTCAACTCTGGGATGGGCTAATACCACCACATATTTGCGAAATGATTCATTCTTGTCTGTGGTTTGTGTGGTTCATTCTTGTGTGTGGTTTGTGTGGTTCATTCTTGTGTGTGGTTTGTGTGGTTCATTCTTGTCTGTGGTTTGTGTGGTTCATTCTTGTCTGTGGTTTGTGTGGTTCATTCTTGTCTGTGGTTTGTGTGGTTCATTCTTGTTTGTGGTTTGTGTGGTTCATTCTTGTCTGTGGTTTGTGCGGTTGATTCTTGTCTGTGGTTTGTGTGGTTCATTCTTGTTTGTGGTTTGTGCGGTTGATTCTTGTCTGTGGTTTGTGTGGTTCATTCTTGTTTGTGGTTTGTGTGGTTCATTCTTGTCTGTGGTTTGTGTGGTTCATTCTTGTTTGTGGTTTGTGCGGTTGATTCTTGTCTGTGGTTTGTGTGGTTAACCACTTGTTATTTTCTAGCCCCTTAATATTTGTATCCGCCTCATAGAACATCGATCCTGCCCTGCCTTTCCGCAACGGCTGTTGGTACGGAATTTGGCATTGATCATTTTTATGTAAAGGCTAGAAGAAAGCGTTCGGAAAGTTTGACAGGCATTATAGTCAGCTCTAAATTAAGAACGAGGCTGTAAACGGATGTATCTGAACAAGCGATTAAAAAAAATAACCGGAACAACAGTTATTTGCGCTTCGTAAATAGTTTTCTGTATGTTTATGTTATAAAATATGTTATGGTAACAAGTCTTGAATTAGCTGAAATATTCAGTGTTTAATGATGATTAGTGATGTTTTCCTCAAATCGGTCACGTGATCGGTCATTTGGTTCTGACGTCACGTTCTAGCTTCGTGCGTCTAAATCTTGGGAACTAAATGACACATGCACCTACGCTTGCTCCTTTCAGGAAATTTGAATAACAGCCATGAACTGGGCGGATCCTTTGTTGATTCGGTTCATTAAACTTCTTGGTAATGCCTGGCTCTGTGACGGGCAAACACATAAGTGGACTGATAAAACACAGGAAACTGTTGAACAAAGCTAATTGACATCCATCAATGACAATTAGCGAAGGCTTCACACTCAGTTGACCTAAAAAGCTGAATGATAAAGCTGACTGATAAAAAAAAAAACAACAACTCGTGAATGAACAACAAAGACGGCTGACACAAAAACAAAATAACTGACTCACAGAGTTTCTTCCAGGCATCTCTTCGGGGGGGGGGGGGCGAAACCCCCCCCCCCCCGAAATGAAATTTTTTTACCGCCTCCCCCCGAACGAAATGAAATTTATATAATTTATATAGAAAATGTATACTTTTAACAGTGTCCGCCCCCCCCCCCCCCGAAGAAAGGGATACACACACTACATTCTAAAATTACAATTTAATATACAAGTAACAATGCGTTATACTGGGTGAAATATTTTATGTTCATCAAACGTCCCCCCCCTCTCTTCACCTCTGTTGCTATGTAACACTGACGTCACCACTTTCCGTGGTTAACCCTGTTTATTTGTTCCACATCAGCTTGTCTGCTAGAAGTCCAACCCCAACCCCAACCGCCCCTTACACCATTAGAGAAGGCAAAAAAAAACTAGTGCTATTTTTTTCCGTGAAAAAAAATAAACTGGGGATTCCCCAAATATTACTAATATCAAAGGGGGATTTTCAATCATAATTTAATTTAGCAGCTTAATTTTTTTTTCTGTAGCTGTGGTCATCTAGATTGCCGGCTAGTTCTTCATTCCAGTTCTAAACACCTCATACTTAAACACCTTATACTTAAACAACCTCACATACATTAAATTCCCCAACCAAATATTCACCTCTCTACCCTTTTCTTCCCCACCCCTATTCACAATTTAGCACCCCTACCTTCATCACCCCTATTTACAATTCGCCACCCCTACCTCCAACACCCCCACCATTGTCGCTCTACCATTGTTTAACTAGCCGCTACCCCTAACCCTAAGCCATAGATCAATCTGCTACTGACCCACGTGACTGTACAGCCACTCACACCCCGCCACACGCACGCTACACAACAACTGGGTCATAATGACCTCATTATAACCCTGAGGTTAACCCTCTAAGGCCACGTGTGTTGAATAAAAAAAGTGTCAGAGGTCACAACACATCAACACGGAGCTGAGGTGTTGTGGTGTTTGTTTGTTAGATATCCAAAGATTTGAATGGAAATATTTACAGTACCCACGAGTGTAGCCCGTGAGTTAAACGGAATGTGTGCTGGGGGAGGGGATGGTTGGGTGGAATTACAGTGTGCCATTGAGTTTAATAGAGTGGATCGATAGCCGAACATTTAAAAATAAAATGTTGACATGTAACATACTCCCAGGGGGAGACGGTGGGCAGGAGGCTTTCATACAAGTTTTTTTTTGACCTCATCAGACAATAAAGAAAGTTTCATTCATGCATTTTTTTAGTTTTCGGTGGGGGGGGGGGGGGAGACTTAAAATGTATTAAAATGTGTTTGTGTGTGTGTGAGGGGGGGGGGGGGAGCAGTAACGGACATTCCGGTAATTTTGTTCATAAGTAGGTCAATTGTTGAAAGGTAGTAGCTGCAACCAATCAGAATTTTTTTTTCTTTTATTAATAGTGTATTGATTCTCCTAGTCTATTTTTATTTTAAAGGGTTTCTAATAGTGATGTCGAACTCGGGGTGATTAAATTATTTAAAAAAAGAATGTGCACTGTTAAGTTAATGAGCATTTACACTTCTTGTGCTTAGTTAATTACCACTTACACTTGTTTTAAGTTAATAACAACTTACATTTGTGTTAAATTAATCACCACTTAACTGTTGTATTACATGAACATAAGAAAATCACATGTATTAGAAACAAAACATAACCCCTGAGTTTATATTGGCCCTATTTACATTCTCAAATTATTCTTAGTAGAATGTATACTGTTTATAAACTAACTCTGGCTTGTTACTTTTCAGGCACCGAATTTCTCATGCAATGCACCGAAAAACTTTCAAGAGATTTGCTGTGGATGACAGAACCTGCCTCCAACTTCAACATTTCACAGGAGGTGATGGGATGTGGGTGACACAACCTGCATCCAACTTCTACATTTCACAGGAGGTGATGGGATGTGGGTGACACAACCTGCATCCAACTTCTACATTTCACAGGAGGTGATGGGTTGTGGATGACAGAACCTGCATCCAACTTCTACATTTCACAGAAGGTGATGGGATGTAGATGACAGAACCTGCATCCAACTTTACCATTTCACAGGAGGTGATGGGATGTGGATGACACAACCTGCCTCCAACTTCACCATTTCACAGGAGGTGATGGGGTGTGGGTAACATAACCTGCATCCAACTTCAACATTTCACAGGAGGTGATGGGTTGTGGATGACAGAACCTGCATCTAACTTCACCATTTCACAGGAGGTGATGGGATGTGGATGATACAACCTGCATCCAACGGCAAGATAAATACTATTAAATAGTCGTAGTAATGATAAGTTGATAACTGAAGGCGGACCAGATTGCCTTAATGCTAGCCCATGCAAATCCACAGTGTTTTAATGCTAGCCCATTCAAATCCACAGTGTTTTAATGCTAGCCCATGCAGATCCACAGTGTTTTAAAGCTGTTCCATGTTGCACAAAAAGTCTGTTACAGAAACCTGTAGGGAACACATGTAGTCTCTAAGACACGAGAAAACACTGGACTAATGTCCTGAGCTGGAATAAGTTCACTGACCACATATTCTTTGGGTCTTTAACTCACTAGTCTACACAGAAAAGGTAATAGTGAAGTATTCTATATGTTTATTCAAATTTGTTTAATGTTACATCAACACACTTTGCTAAATTGTCATCATTTTTAATCTAAATTTAACATAAATAAAAGTAGTTGTTCCTAAATCACAGTTTACTTAAATTCTTAACTTTCTGTTGTGTGGTAAAAATGAATGGCACGACTCATAAAAAAAACAAACAACAACAACAACTTGAAATAATGTTACAATCCAACGGTTAATTCAATAATGACTCGATACATGTATAAAAACAGTAGCTGTACAGAACCATACACCCCAATACAGGATCATAGACTGATATGGTTTACCACGGGTATGTTTAGAGAACAGTACACCCCAATACAGGATCATAGACTTATATGGTTTACCACGGGTATGTTTAGAGAACAGTACACCCCAATACAGGATCATAGACTTATATGGTTTACCACGGGTATGTTTAGAGAACAGTACACCCCAATACAGGATCATAGACTTATATGGTTTACCACGGGTATGTTTAGAGAACAGTACACCCCAATACAGGATCAGAGACTGATATGGTTTACCACGGGTATGTTTAGAGAACAGTACACCCCAATACAGGATCATAGACTGATATGGTTTACCACGGGTATGTTTAGAGAACAGTACACCCCAATACAGGATCATAGACTTATATGGTTTACCACGGGTATGTTTAGAGAACAGTACACCCCAATACAGGATCATAGACTGATATGGTTTACCACGGGTATGTTTAGAGAACAGTACACCCCAATACAGGATCATAGACTGATATGGTTTACCACGGGTATGTTTAGAGAACAGTACACCCCAATACAGGATCAGAGACTGATATGGTTTACCACGGGTATGTTTAGAGAACAGTACACCCCAATACAGGATCATAGACTGATATGGTTTACCACGGGTATGTTTAGAGAACAGTACACCCCAATACAGGATCATAGACTGATATGGTTTACCACGGGTATGTTTAGAGAACAGTACACCCGAATACAGGATCATAGACTTATATGGTTTACCACGGGTATGTTTAGAGAACAGTACACCCCAATACAGGATCATAGACTTATATGGTTTACCACGGGTATGTTTAGAGAACAGTACACCCCAATACAGGATCATAGACTTATATGGTTTACCACGGGTATGTTTAGAGAACAGTACACCCCAATACAGGATCATAGACTTATATGGTTTACCACGGGTATGTTTAGAGAACAGTACACCCATACAGGATTAGAGACTGATATTGTTTACACGGTAGTAGTATATTAGGTCGCTTTTGGAGCGTATTTGGGTGGCGCAAAGGTTATATAGCAAAATACTCACCCAGCCTGGGACAATGACATATAGCAAAATACTCCCTAGGGTGGCGCAAAGACATATAGTAAAATACTCCACCAACTGGTGGTGGCGCAGGGTGGGGGTGGGGGTGGTGGGGGAGAGGGGGAGTGGTGATGGGGGTGGAGAAGAGTGGGGTGGTGGGGGAGAGGGGGAGTGGTGGTGGTGGTGACCTGGGGGTGGGGGTGGTGGTGGATGTACAAAGACATATAGTAAAATTCTCCACCACCTGGTAGAGGGTGGTGGAGCAGTGGGGGTGGGGGGTGGAGAAGAGTGGGGGAGAGGGGGAGTAGTGGTGACCTGGGGGTGGTGGTGGTGGCGCAGCAAGGGGTTTGTTTATTTGATTTCTTTGTATGTATGTTTAATAGTAAACGGAGAGGGGTGGTTGAGGGGAGGGGTGAGTAATGATGGGTTTGAGGGTAGGGGTGTGCTAGTTGTACTTTGTGAATAACATCCATTAACCAGACATGTAACACCTGTTACGTATCGACCGCCCGCGAAGTTTTCAGGGCTGTGCGTTTTGATTATTTGTTTACTTTTTTTAATTGTTTAATTTGTTTGTTTAAATTTTATAGTTGTTTATTTATTTTGTTTTGTAATTTTTATTGACGAGTTACGTAATTGGATTATTTGTTTGATTTTAATTAATTTGATTTTAATTACTTTGTTTATATTGTGTAATTTTTATTAACGAGTTACATAATTTGATTTTTATTTTTTTTTTTAATTTTTAAATTTTTTATTTAATTTTAGTTTAATTATTATTATTATTAACGAGTTACGTAATTTGATTTTAATTTTTTGAATTTTTAAATTTTTAAATTTTATTTCTTTGATTTTAATTACTTTGTTTAATTTATTTATTTGATATATTTCTTTTCTTTGTTGTTTAATTTGTTGGTTTGTTTATTTGGTTGTATGTATGTTTTAAATAAAAGACTAACACTAGCGTGGACTTTGTATAGGGACCATTCAGCAACACAACGAACGGTTACCGAAAATAGAACATTCATTTAATCACATCTGTTACTTAGCGATCCACGATCCTTTGTTTTTGACACGCGCTCCCCGTTTTTTTAATGGGAATGTATTGATCGCACCAACGGGCCATCACACCTAATTAATTTGGTCACGCCTCGTGGGTTTATGTGTTGTTCACTAAAGCGAACACAGCAGGGGGTATGATAATTAATTGAAAGAGCTAAGTGTCTCTCCGCGAAGCCAGCGTTAAGTGTGGGAACACCTGTTACCACGTTAATCGATTTTTCCCCGCTCGGTTACTAGAGTGGGAAGCCATCACGTAACAGCTGGTGCTGTAATTACCCTGAGTAAGGACATTGGTTGTAACTATTCGCTTATAGCGAGGGTCAGCGAAAACAAAATATATTTAAGGGTTGGAATTTTCTTTCAACCACCGTTAAGTCAGGTTTGAGACGAAACAAAGTCTCGGTAGGTTCGTGTTTTTTAATTGGCGACAGGGCGACTTGGTGCGTTGGTACGTGAGGTATGCGGGGTAGACATGTTTTTTTACAAGTCTGGAAAAGTATGACCGTTCCGATTTTCTTTTGATCTGACCACCATTTGACCACACTGAGCCAGATAAATTTAACAAATGTTCAATACATAGTCGCTTATAGTAACATGGGTGAGGGGTGTAAGCAGGCGGGTGGTGGTAAGGTGGTGGTGGTAAGGTGGTGGTAAGGTGGTGGTAAGGTGGTGGTAAGGTGGTGGTGGTAAGGTGGTGGTAAGGTGGTGGTAAGGTGGTGGTAAGGTGGTGGTAAGGTGGTGGTAAGGTGGTGGTAAGGTGGTGGTAAGGTGGTGGTGGTGGTAAGGTGGTGGTAAGGTGGTGGTAAGGTGGTGGTAAGGTGGTGGTAAGGTGGTGCTAAATTTGTTTGGAGTAAAGGATATATAGTAAAAGATTCCACCACCTAAGTGAGGTGGATTTTAATTTTAATTTTTTTATTTTATTTTTTTCATCATCTGTTAACTTTAAGGTTCTATAACTCTATATATTTTAATACGTTTTTTTTTTTATTCAAATGAGTTTACTCCCCCTAACGTAAGTACATGTAAAGAGGGATTTCCTATAGATCTGTAATGAATTAGGCCTTTTTGACTATGACTTGTTGCCCAGGTGTTGACATGATACACTTTTTTGAGATACATGTACACACACACACATACACACGTACACACACACACACACACATACACACACACACACACACACATACGCGCGCGCGCGCGAAATTCATACTAGGTCGATAAAGGCGGAGAGAACTTATAGGTATACATTATCATGGTGACAACAAAAGCGATCCTTATTTTATTTACATGAAAGCGTGTTTTCCAAAAAGTGTCGCCATGCCGTTGTCATTTTCGCAGCGGGGTTTATTTTAAGTGCACCTCGTGCACGTTTGTTTACATTTTAAAAGACGTAGAGGTACGGTCTGTTTATCAAGCGGGTGTTTAGGGACGGGGGTGAGGGCGGCGAACAAAGTTGTCGATGTAGGTAGGGTGCAAGAGATATTCAACGAGGAGTGGCGTCTACAAGTTACATAGCCCAGTCTGTTGGAGTAGTGTCTAGGGGTTGTGATATTAGTTGAATAAATATTTGTCTTTAGGATTGTCTTACAGCCTTTGTCTCTTAAATGGAATAGAATGGGTAGTGTTACGGTCTGTGTATCTAGCGGTTGGTATTGAGGTTAGGGATGGGAGAAGGGGAAAAGAGTTGTGGACAAAGGGAAGGGGAAGGGCGAATAGTGATAAAAATAACTCACCCAGCCCCTTAATCAATAAAAATTATTGATTTGTACTTTAGAATGATTATATTGAATGATATGTATGCTAATGTCATATGATATTTAGTTTTTACGTCATTATTTTGGTGAAATTTAAATGTAGACATTTTAAACTGTGTGTTATTTGACACGACGTACTATAACGTTGTTGATTTTTAAAACTTGAAGTTTATAATCTTAAGCAAATTTTTACTAAGGTGATCAAAAATTAAGATGACAATGTAAGATATAGAAAAACAAAATACATTGAGTGGTAAAAATAAAAAAATTGTTATTAGACGTAATGAATTATGTATAAGTAAACTTTCTTAAAAATTAAAGAAGTTCAAGTCAAAAAGAAGTTTGATGAAAACTGTAATACTAAAGCGAACATGGAAAGGTAATCTGCTGCAAGACTAAGATATATATTCGTCTTCCTTCTAGGTTCATTGCTTTTTTTGGTTGAGGTTAAACATCGCCATGTTTTCAAATATCGCGATGGACGTCACGTTCTCTCCCCTCTTACCTAGTAATCGCTTCCTCTACCTATTGTTTACAACACGCTTACAAAGAAAAAATATCCCACCCCTCTACTTGAGACATAAAATACAAAAGTGTATTGTGCCTTGTCGTCACAGGAAACAAAAACGGTGGCGTCTAATGTTGTTAACCCTTGTCTTCCTAAATTATTTTTTAACTTGTTAAAGAAATTGAATGTTTAGTTAAGGATTCTGACGCGAGTTTTTTCACAAGGGACGCTACTCGTGGCTGTAAACAAGGCTGTTCTAATTTTAGAACAGTTGTCTTTCCTCTCGTTTCTCTATTAGGGAAGACATGTGGGGAAGACACGCGACACGTCTTTTAAAATGTAAACAAACGTGCACGAGGTGCACTTAAAATAAACCCCGCTGCGAAAATGACAACGGCATGGCGACACTTTTTGGAAAACACGCTTTCATGTAAATAAAATAAGGAT